ACTGCTTTGCGTTTGCTCGGAAGGACCTGCACTGTTTCTGTGCTCTTTCTGCTAGCGTGGCGGGGCGCTCTTGTCATTCAGAGGCCTTCCACGGATTCTTTCCAGTCGCCAGAAAGGCTCTGTGGGCTATAGCAGGGGACCTCCATGTTAACTTGTCCGGGTATTCTCGGTAGCTCGGAGGCCCTTTACGTTGGTTTCGGTTCACCTACAGACACGCTTGCGAGATGCTCATGGGCCCTCCGCATTGGTCTAGGGCGCTTCCAATTTTATGCCACTTGCTTAGTGCCATGGTGCCATGGTGCCTATGCCACTTGCTATGCTCTTGTCGGGGGCTCATCTGTTAACCTGCTTATGCACACTCTGTCGGTCGGGGCCCTCGAAACTGGGTCCAGGGTACTTTCCATTTATTATTTGGATGTGACTGGCGTCTTGATGTGTTATGCATGCTGGCTTAAAATCGCCTTCATGTATCAGTGTTGTCTGATGCTTGATGCACGATGTCTGTTTAACTGAAATCGTTTGCATGTAAAAGAGATGCGTGATGTGACATGCCCGTTTGCTTGAAATCGCTTGCAGAAGTAAATGATGTGTTATGCGTGACGCCTGTTAACTTGCATTTTTCAATTAATTTGCGTATACAGGTATTTTTTGCGCATTTTAATTCTCAGTTAGATGTCCACTGTATCGCAGAAATGACTGGTCATTGCTCCCCTGCATGTTGGTGGTCTGTAAAAACTGTGGCTGGCTGTTTTTGAAGGAAAAAACTGAAACGTCGAGTAAAATCAGCGGACAAATTTGAATTTGCTGCCGATATTCTTTTCGATATACGCATGTAGCCGAATTATCACATTTATCTTTCCATATTTCTCTTTCCTCTTTGAGGAATAAAGCGATTAATGCTGTTTTATCCATACGTATAATGTTCCTCACAAATGCACTTTACAATTTGCGAAGCGCTGCCATCATGTCGATAATGATGGCGGGCATGCTTTCTACGTACCAGTTTAAACGTAATATAAAGATATAATATAAAGTCCGGTAATATAAGTAATATAATATAAAGTCCGGTACAACTGCGTTGGGAGCTATGGCTAAACGCCTATCCTGTAAATGAATGGTGTGCAAGGTTGATGTGTGGTCGTATATGCAACACCTGCAACGGGAAGAGCGTTCATTGCAATTGTCGAAGGGCGGGACCGCCAGCATCGTCTCGCATAGGATTGTGTCGCCGCAGACTCGCCCTGCGGTCGAGTGTCTCTGTTGCCGGCGCAGTATCACATGCCTGCCGCCGTCAGCAACTACAAAGCCCGCCCCTGTACCCACCCGCCGTCAAGAAACAAATTCGAATTCAGTTAGTAGCCTGTGCCGGGGAACTCAGCTTAAATCGCCGGGCGCGACAGGGTCCGATACCTGCCAGTCATACGCGCGATTTCAAACAGCAAAACCAAGGTGATGCAGATGACTCTGTGGACTGGAACATGTATTAATTTGGTGTTTGGGAGTTGCCCTGTCACCTACATCACCTTCTTTCCTTTCTCCTCTCCTTCTCCTTACTTTTCCGCCCACTTCCCCTAATCCTTGAGTTCCCCCCCCCCCGCCGAACTCGCCGAGTGTGCTCCAGCTTGAGCGCGAGGGCCGGTGTTTGGGATGGCGAATCCAGCGAGGCATGTGCGGGAATTATGCAGTGCATTTTCGTTATCAGGGCATCGAAACAAAGCAATTGAATTGCTATATAAAGTCAGAACACTGATTTCATCAGCAGAGTAGGTTTGTGATGTATTGTGACAGAGATAAATATAATCGGTGTGGTAGGAGGTCATCCAGGCAGTCGAATGTGTCAACATTGTCCCGTGATTTTTTCCATGATACCAGGAATATTACATGTGTTTAGTAGCTACGTTTAACGGCAGACTAAGATGCACGTCTGTTGCGAAACTTGATCTTATTCAACGTTGTCTCGGGGCGTTTTATGAAGCACGGCATCGTGCAAACCGACATAACCTACAGCAACTCGGCCAGCATTGTGGCGGATGATCTGCTGTGGTGTATCTGCAACAATTGCCGTTCGTGAGAATTCCTGAGCGGTTACGTTAGGCTCATCGTGTCTTTCACAAAATCAAAACAATCTAATAACGAAATTAAACATCACGGCAACAGAAAATGCTACTCTTCTGCTCGATAAATCACACGAAATGAAAGGAACTAACGCCAGTGCTTTTTTACTAAACCCACGTGTCGCTTGTGTGAGATGTGCGGTGATTTTATCGAATTATTGCTTTTTTATTGGTCAGAGATTTTTTATAACAAGCACATTGTAAAAGGTGCGCATTGTATGCAGTAAAAATTTATATTCATGTCGCACAGACGTGCACTTTGTTGGATGCAATAAAATTGCTTGAGCACTACAAGTACCCCATGTTTTGTGTTACATAGGCATGGACGTGAAATTTAGTTCGTCACTTTTTCAAGCAATTCTAATCAGCCAGGGACCTGATTTGGTATCACCATTTGGTAGCCCTGACGGCAAACCAGGTGTTCTCCTCCTATCTGTTATATTTTTCGAGAATTTCACCTTTGGTATCAAATGATGTTCTTGTCTAATTAACGTCAACATTAAAGGGGTCCCTATCACAGCCTTCCGTTTCTTGCTTACTTTCTCCTGCTCATGGATCGGTATGAGCCCGCTTCAATATTAGCAAAGATGACGTCCTATTTTAGCGTGCAAACTGAAAAGATTCGTTACAGCAACAGTTTCTGAAATCATTCCCGCATGGTAAAAGTCACCTGCTGTATCAATTTTGATGCAAGTGTGGATCAGGGAGGCACTGATACATTAATTTATGTGGGGTGCGAGAAAAGAGACAACTCACGGTCAAAAGGCTGGAGCTCGACTGCGCCGCTTTTGCTGCATTTCCATGCCATCACCTAAACTTCTCGATGACATTATACGGAGCTGAAGACTTATTTGCACTGGTTGTTACGGTTTCAATCATTCATGACATCTTGCTCATCATAGATGTCTGCTACATTCATTGCATATTTCTGCAAGGGCTGCTTGTCCTTACTTGGAAAATGCACAGTTATGACCAGTTACTACTGCATCTTTGTTCTTTGAAAAAGTATTCTCATCATTTTCGTGATACATCTGCTCCCTAATGTCGTGTCGCAAAAAGATTGCTGCAGGTTTCTGGCCCATGAAAGCCCGTCATGCTCAACCAACAAACCGACAAAGAGCCCGCGAGCATAAAGGGAATGTTCCAAAGTTGAAGATATTGAAGCAAGCATGAGATGAGATGAAATAAGCTTTCTTGTAACTGTTGGCTTGCTATTATGTGGAAAAACTGCTCTAGATAACACAATTTATCTTTGTAGTTAATAAGCTTCTCAATATGTCATTGTTTGATTGCGTTATGGTACCTTGCACAACACCGATTGAGAGCCAATGGACAGCTGGAAATTGTGCTTACGAACGCCAGATATGAACCGCTCGACAATTATTTATGCAATTATATTTTTTTTGTCCGTGATCATCGCATGTCTAATAGGTCTGTTGGATGTCTCGGTGGCCTTGAAATGGTCTCCCCGAAGTAAGGTCTGTTGGATGTCTCGGTGGCCTTGAGATGGTCTCCCCGAAGTAAGGTCTGTTGGATGTCTCGGTGGCCTTGAGATGGTCTCCCCGAAGTAAGGTCTGTTGGATGTCTCGGTGGCCTTGAGATGGTCTCCCCGAAGTAGTGTGTCCATTTCCACGGGCGTGCAGCTCAGAAACAAGAGGGGATTATGTCTTTAAAGGAGCACGACTGTGTACTGCACCAAAATGATCTTCAACATGGCTATTTCAGCGCAAAACTCCACATCAATGTCGAGCACTCACTTTAAACCCGGCCAGACATGCCGGCCTGGCAGATCAAGAAGCTGGGTGTCTGATAACGCCACACAGCCGCGATCCTGCCTCTGTCGTCCCCCCCCCCCCCCCCCCCTCCACCCGCACGCCGCCACAGGCGTTTCGATGTCAGAGGTCAGCATGTGATTTACTGCCAGTTGATGACGAGCTATCCGCGTAGATGTAGGTATCGCGGAATCGGCTTTATGGCAGCAATTTCACCGCGGGGACGGTCGGAGCCAACAGTTCGTTCGTGGAGAGCGAAGGAGAAATGGCATGTCGGCTTTGCGGCATGTAACGTAAGAGAGAGGGCCATTGCATCATGTCTCACAGGAGGCGGACATGAGAATGCCAATCATCTGTTTCATGACATAACTGAGAAGTTGTAAAAGTTCTTGAGCATTATTGGGCGGCGTGCTGTGCCACAAAGCACAAGCATGTTTTTATGGCGGTGTCTGCTGTTCCACAGTGCCTTCGGAAGCAGTAGAACTAGACAGTGGCCTGTTGTTCGTAAATCACAACCTTTGAGGTGTTTACTTCCTGTGCTTTATCGTACGGTATTTCACGGGACAAAATAATCCACGGCCGAAAGAAATACTTAATACTTAATAATAAGGGAATACATGTAGTTTTGTTGGGGCTAGGGCGTGTGAGTAGGTATCAGTCAGGCGTCAGCTAGCCCAAGAAAGAGCATAATACCAGATTATCAAGTTAACGCTTGGACTGGGGGGTACGGCCGACGTCCAAGGCCAGGGGTTTTCTTGGTTTACCTTCACTTCGCCAAACGGCAGACCCTGGTAATATCCTACATAATACGGTGATAGCAAATGCAGGTTCGAATATTTCGCCCAATGCTTTAACAGAGCCGCTGGACCGGCTCTCTTGCTCGGCCCCGGGCAGGCCGCGTCCGTCACCACGCCGTCACTGACGCGGTGCTGACCCCGGCCTAAGAACTCGCCGGCCCCCTCCCCCCTCCCCCCCCTCAGTCGGCCCAACGGCGTCCGCCGACAGCCGACATAGTCGGCAGCAGACAGGGCCCAGCTCCAGGTGGAGTTTTATTCGCTGTTTTTCGCTCACCAGTGGAACGTAAGAACTTTCTAGCTTGTGCAATTGCAACACGTCAACTTTCTTCCGCCTGTACCTGTAATATCACACGGTGGACCCAGAAAAAAAAACAATGTGTTCACCAGACAGTCTCATTTTGTCGGGGAGTGGATGCCGATTGTCAGGAACTCGAATGCACACTTTACCAGAGCTGCGCTGGTCATTTCTATACAGGCTTGATTAGCCTTGCTCCAGCTCTATCCTGCGTGCCGGCAAGGCCATGGCGATGCCACTGTTTGATAATGACAAGGGAGTAGAGATACACAGTGCTTAATATTGCGACTAAGTTTGGCCCTAGTCTGTCATCGAACGGTTCGCTCTACACGTGGCTTAAACGTGAGGGTGGCGACCAAGCCAGCCGTGGTGACGACACCCCCGAGCAGAAACATCAGGGAGAAGCCGTAGCGGTCCAGCAGGAGGTCGGTCAGCAAGGCTATCAGGGGTCCGGTCAGGGCACCGACCAGGGAGATTGCGCCGTAGATTTGCCCGGCGTTCTCCTGACCGAAAGTGTCCACTACTCCCGCCACCACGATCGAGAAGGTCCCCGAAAAACAGAAGTACGTGCTCCAAACCCAAGAGAGGTACATCACTTTCCCGACCTCGGACGTGACCTGCAGAGTGTACACGAGTGCACAGAACAGACCTGTCAATAAAACCATGACTGGCTTATAGCCAAATATATCACTGAGTAAACCCCAGATCAAGCAGCCTGTCAAGCTGAACACGGAGGAGCCCGAGCCAACTAGCTCAAGGAAGTGATCGTCCCTAATGAAGGTCTGGCCAAAACCCTTCCAGAGCGTATTGATTAATCCAATGGTGAACTTGTTGAAAACGAACCCCATCATGAGCTGGTACATCGCCACCTTTGTGGACGCTTCCTTTAATGAGTAAGACACTCCTTGTTTTTCAATGTTCGATGCCCCGGCCGCATCCATCCCGAAAGGCTCGGCTCGATGTCGCGCTGAGGGGCCATGGTTTCGCTTGCTGCTTCGGCACTCTGACGGGCGTCGCCCCGCGTTCCGCGCTGGTGGGTTGCGCAGCCCCAGAACAGCCGTCAGCTGCAGCGCGGCGCACACGCCAGCCTGCAGCAGAAACACAAGCGGAACGCGGTCCAGCAGCGCCGCGTCGTGGAAGAACCCGTCCTCCTCCGGGCTCACGTTGTCGGGGTTGAGGAAGCTGGTCTGGACAGTGGTGAAGAGTATGCCGCCGAGACTGTAGCCTCCGAACACCAGACCATTGACCAGGCCCTTGCGGTCCGGGAACCACCTGTGGCCGACCAACATCGGCACGCTGTACACCAGCCCCACGCCCAGGCCGTTCAGCACGCTGTACGTCATGGTCACCCACAGCAGGGACGAGTCGACAGTGAGACTGGTCAGCGCGATGGCGCCGCTGGCCATCACGCTTCCGAGGAGGACGACGCTGCGTGGGCCGTAGCGCTGGTATAGCACGCTGCCCGGCAGTAGGGCCAGGCCCTCCGTCATACCCATCAGCGTGCCCACCCACACCGTCTGGCCGTAGCCCACGTCCTGGCCGCCGCGCCCGCGCAAGTACGACGTCAGGTAGGTGGTGAGGTTGCCGAAGGTGAAGAGGCCTCCCAGAGAGATCTGCAGCAGAAAGCCGACCGTGACGGCCAGCACGCCGCCCGCCGGAAGCGACCGGAGGTCGTGGCCCAGGCGCCGGAAATAAGATACATCCGGCGTCATGTTCGGCCGCGCTCCTGCCAACACAGATTTACGTGCATGCAGTGGCGCCCCGTTACAACACGGTTTAGCTGGTTGCAGATGTCATGTCTCGTGGTTTGTCATCAGTATTCGTGATCATAGATCATTTCACGGATTTCTGCACCTGGAAAGGGAGCCCATTGTGCGCTTTCGGAACTTTATAACTTATTGTAAACGTGATATCTGGGTGACATTGTAGGCGGCGCAATCACGGACCAAGCATGAGCTTCGTGTTGAACCCACATGAACCGTGCAAATAATGCCAACACGACCTTGCCAATATTCAAGCATTAAATGTATGTTCACGCCTTGTTGCAAGCGTTCCAAGTTTTGTTTGGAGCGTAATCACATGCCCCATCCCACTTGGCCGAGCGTAATGAAAAGGCAAGTCACAAACACCACGCGGTGGAAAGTGTGAAATGAGCATCACCGGTTGGCAGGATGTGAACAGTTGCGGCTTCCGTCCGCCCCCTCCCGCCCCCCACCCGCTGGTTTCAGCCGCCTCACTGCTCAGAATGCCCCCTGGGTCACTACCTACTCACTGATGTGCTGTTCAACTGGTGTGGACGGCTGCGACATCCAGGAGGACGGAACCGGGTCGCTTGACGCAGTTCTAGCTCATGGGGGCGCTCAGCTGGTGTTTGTAAGATGGCGTGGACCTAGGCTTGTGCTCCGGTACGTAGGTAATGGTTCCTGTCTGCTCAATATTCGCTGCCTGTCCTCGCTGTCGCTGCCTGATCACTGGTGCACTGCCTGTTCCCGCTGTCACTGCCCGATCACTGGTGCACTGGCTGTTCCCGGTGCCAATGCCTGACTACTAGTCACCGCATGTTCCCCAAGGCGTTGCCTATATACAGTGCACTGCACGACTTCCGAGGACAACTGAGCCGCCTGGCGGAGCGGGCCCGGATGACTTGATAACAGATGTGGCCAATAGGTGTATTCGATCAGTACTTGAGAGATAGATCGGAAGAAGGCTTGAACAAGACTTGTTTGCCTTATGTCCAGCACGTCTTCGCTCCGTTTCAGTTCGCTGTGTTTTGTGTGAAGCTGCATAGTCCCACAGCTTGGGTGTGAGTACTTCTGATCCGTCCACAGACCCATCCCATCCATTCTCAAGGTCACGTTCTGATGTCATGTATTACTCCCGCGTATTTATTACAGGCTTTTTGTGACGGCCGTTAAATCTGGCACTTCCCATTTAGCAAGCATGGTATATGTCGGATGAGTTCTGAACGTGTCATTGATAACTGCTTTTAACGTCGCCTTACGTACAACAGTCACAATCGGAGAATTTATCGTGAAAGGTGCTGAAAGCCTTTTGTAGTTAAAAGCACAAATATGATGCGCGAATATGCATGTACGGAATAAGGGCCTGAGTGCATCATCAACTGCATCGCCACAGCTCCATCAAAATAAAGAGTGATTGGCAAGAAGCCGCTCTGGCCTACATAATGACAATCGTTACCGCACATATTGTTTTAAGGATAAGTTAAAAATAATGACTCACCAGACTTTTTCGCTTAGAACTGACTTAATGCAAATGTATCACAGCCCTTTTTCCAAGCGTTGACATACAGCAATTGTGAGCGGCAGTTGCTGACACTAAGACTGAGGAAAATTTTTCGTAAATGCTTAGACCACCTATCCGTTAAGTAAAAGAAAGTAGCAGTGACCATCTTACACGACTTTCTTATCCTGTCTATGAGTGATGCAAGAACCATATCTTCGTCCAAGGTAGAATATGGCCGATGGCAGGGACCGGGAAGATGCAGCCACCTCATACTGGCTGGAGGTTAGACCACCATGTCTAGAGCGTTACAGATATTGATTGAAACATTAATTTGTTATCTAGTTAGATTACGCTGCCGAAAGTTCCGCTCACCTAAAATGCGTCCATCTTACCCAACGTCCCGATTGCGCTAGTCCATGCCGTCGCAAGTTATATGTCACCGAATGATAAAGCACACGGCAGTTTAGCGTTTTTTTTTTGCTTGAAGTTCTGAAATATTTATCTAACTTTTGATCTGATTACCGAGATTGGACCCACCACAAAATCGTCTCACTTGAGTCCTCCTAGACCGAGTCAAAAATTGAGACTCCCAAAGGAAATTAATGGAATATAACAGACCGCTCAAATACCAACACTTTTGCATTTTGCATTCGGTCGTAACACAATAAAGTAAAGCTCTGTCATGATGAAACAACCATTATTCTGTACTTGCTTGTCATACGGCCCACGCTAGATCAAGGCTTTGAATAATTACTACAGCGTAAATCGAAAACAATTGAGCGCCATTAAATGAGTCAATGATCCCTCTACAACTTTCCATTTTGTGTACACTTGTAATTTGATAGCCTCAAGCCGTGTAAGCGGTTCAACATTACGTCTGTCGTTCAACGAACTCAGCTACCAGTGGTTGCCACCACTGAGGGACTGACACATGCTTGTCAGCGGCTTTCCAAACTGCCCGGCGTCTATGACTTCGTCTGGCCGCTGAGCTTCTTCCCTTTGTCGAAAGCCTGGCTGCGCCTCTGACTCGGGGCCCGGTACCCCACCACCGGACGCCTGACTACGCCTCTGGGCGGCGTCGGAGCCCGAGCGGCGCGAGCCGAGCCGAAGAAGAGCGACCTTGGTCAGAATGGAAAGTCGCCGCGAGGACGTCGTTTCCCTCCTGGCGAGGCGCGCCGGCCCCGCGAGCTTTCCGGCCCGAGGTAATTAAGGTGTTTGCCTGGCGGGAAGGGAGGGAGGTCACGGGTACCTTATCGCACGAGGTCAGGGCGAATGAACAACAATGTTTAATACCGCCGGCGGTGATTCACGACCGACCACGCTGTCTTATTAAGGAGCATGACGGCTTCGTAACATGGGTGGTCTTGATAGAGGCGATGACGGGCAATGTGCCTGTGCAACTTATTGTCTGCTTTGACCTCTTGGAAGATAAAGCCCTTGCCGTTTAGTGTCGATAAAGGAAGTGTAAATGTCCATTTGGATTATCTGTCATTATCCATGCTTTTCAGCATAAGGTCAGGAAAAATGTCATGCTTCTTTTGTATTTTATCTAACCAAGCTTACACACACTCCGAAGAATCCGATGTGGGTGTGGTGCCCGTCCTTCGTGCCAGGCTGAGAGACGGGTGACGCAAACTAGTCTGCTTTTCAAGGCCTACGTGAACATGGTTACCTTTCTAGGCTTACAGGGACATCCTCACTAGCAGCGTGACAGGGATGGAATGTGGCATGGTGGTTAAAGAGGATGCGTCTATGAAACTTCCAACGGCCCTTTGTCCAGAGTTAGGAGATTAACCATGGAGCCCCAGCTGCTGAGTGTGTCGTTACCATGGAGCCCCAGCTGCTGAGTGTGTCGTTACCATGGAGCCTCAGCTGCTGAGTGTGTCGTTACCATGGAGCCCCAGCTGCTGAGTGTGTCGTTACCATGGAGCCCCAGCTGCTGAGTGTGTCGTTACCATGGAGCCCCAGCTGCTGAGTGTGTCGTCACCATGGAGCCCCAGCTGCTAAGTGTGTCGTTAAGCACCAATGACACACGCACCGTCAAGAAACAAACTTGGTGGTCATTTGCCTTCATACCAAATAACGAGCCCTGCGAATGATAGTTATCCGGAGTCAAGTGCAGCCGTCCTCAATCACCTGCGCACGCATCGACAATTGCCCCTTGCCAAGGCGACGTGATGTCATCACTTCGACCGAAATGCGCCGGAGCCAATAGAGCGTTCGCAGTCTCAAGCCCAGCAGGGGGAGAGGGCAGCGCCGAGCCGGAGCCGAGCTGTGTTAGGATGCGTTTGACCTCGCAGGAGCCGTCCGTGGCCCCAAAGCTATGACACAATTCAGCCAGGTGTTCCAAAACTGTTGCCAGCCAATCGAGTTTGCTGAGCTCGCTTTTTGTGTACGTCATGGATCACATGTAAGCTAATTTTTGATTTACTAGCATATGTTTTATTCCTGATACTGATTGTTAAGTAAGCGTTGACACGCCTTTAAAACCCAATAGCTTAACACCCCCTTAGTCTGTCTATGACTTTCTGCATAAGCGTCACAGTTTTACGATCCCTCGCGCCTTATCAAAGGCACTCGCATCAAATATATTGCATATTGATTTCTCCCGCATGACATAATGTATTGCCCGGCTTGACCAGAGCCCGCCCGTGTGCTGCACATGTATGGTCCATGACCGTTGCTCGGTCAGTGGGGCTAAGGTTAGTCAGTCGGAGAGAAGCCCGGGGGCGGTCAGAGGTCAGCTCCGCTGACCAAGACCAGAGACCAGGGTCAGTTGGCGGGGCTGACCTCTGACCGACCTCGGGCACCGGTCTCGGCCAGCCGAAGCCCCATTGTCACCGTTCGGCCCCGTAGGGAGCTCCACCGTCACCGTTCGGCCCCGTCGGGAGCCCCGCCGTCACCGTTCGGCCCCGTCGGGAGCCCCGCCGTCACCGTTCGGCCCCGTCGGGAGCTCCGCCGTCACCGTTCGGCCCCGTCGGGAGCCCCGCCGTCACCATTCGGCCCCGTCGGGAGCTCCGCCGTCACCGTTCGGCCCCGTCGGGAGCTCCGCCGTCACCGTTCGGCCCCGTCGGGAGTCACTCGCCCTGACCTGTGGTTGCCTCACAGCGCGTCTGACGGGCGAAGATGGCCGCGGCGGCGCGAGGCGGTGAGCCTCGCTTCTCCGCGCTGCCTTGCCGGTTGTGCACGGCGGACGTTTTGCACAGATCGCCCGCTCTGCACGGATGCCACTCTACACGGATATCGTCAGAGAACACGTCACATCGCGGGGCCGGCCCGTATGGCGAGGGGCATGGCGAACAGGTGCTTATTTGCGTAACGGACTGAACAACATCTGCTATGCTGCACGCTAGCTAACGATTGGCACGTCAGCAAACAGTCGGACCTTCCACCGTGCTAGACATTCGCCACAGCAAACAGCTGGTACCTGTCTTAGTCAGACCGCATGTCCGCTTTCTGTGCTGGTTAG